ACTCTATTTTTGAAATGAAAAATGTAAGAGTAAGAAATATGTTTGAATAGTAGGTAATGGGGTAGTACATAGAAATGTATAGAAGAAAATATATGTGAAATGAGACGCATTAGTGTAGAAACTCAAGTTCCATTTCAGTTACAAAGATATTGACTCTAAAAGTGTTCCATCAAACTTCATTAAGCTTTTAGAACAACGTTTTAGTTGCAATAAAGCAATGTCTTAACCAAATCTTCATATAGAAACAGCAAACCTTCATGGTCGAAATGTATTGTTAAGCTCCTACACTTCACTAACGAAATACTTTCACGTTTTACAAGATAAAAGACATTATTTCTTCACTTATTTATTGACATTCGGATATGCTCCTACTCAAAATCTGTCGAGAGCTTCTTCTTGCTAGTTGCGAAGGTTATATCAGTATTGAGAGAATATTAGCTGCGTTACGATTTACCCATGCTGAAAAAGTATGAAAGAAAAAATATTTTAGTAAGATTTAATTTTTATGTGAAAAATTCTCACGATCGTGAGAAATTTCTTTCTTGCATAAAAATAAACAAAAACTATTGGCTGATGATCATTACATGGATGTTAAACTTTGATCGGCTAATTTGAGTGTATCAGAATTGACGAAGCCCCCATATATGATAAATGATCAACATACAATTAAAGTCTTTTTTTTAATTTGAACTGACATTTATATGACTTGTAAATACCCATTCTTTCTGATAAGATTAGATGTACAGCTTTAATTGTTTGATATAACCTGATAAACAAAGTTACGAAGTCACTGTACTATTCAATATAAAGTATCTAATATTTGGCTTTAAAATGTAAATAAATGCTTTGTAACTTTGTAATCATAATTCATAAAAACTAGTTAATACCAACATAATTGAAAAGATATCTAAAAAAAAAAAACATGGATTATCATTTATATAAAGTTTAAATTTTCGATAAAAAAATTTAAGCTAAAAGATTTTAATTACTGAAAATATTTTGTCCCCATAATACTTGGTAAAAAATGAAACGTGGAGAGATTTGACAGAATATGTCATGTGAATTTAACATTATGGTCATGTGATATACGAACAAACGCTTCCAATTTTGCAATAACCAGATTAAGGATCAAAACCCTAGTCGTTTACGGCCTTTTAACTTAGTCGCGGACCAGGGTTGTAAATGTAACTTATACCTTGTAACTTACCAATGTAACTTACGGTAAGTTACCAGTAGGTAATGTAAGTTACATTTTATTAATAGGCCGGCA